GGATTGGGTCTGGGTTTGGGGTCTTCATTTTCACCTGAAGGTTGCATGGAATCCTGTCTGTGTTTCCTGTCTGCTTTCTGCTGTCTGCTTTGAATTTTGCCTGAAACTCTCAGACTGAAGAAGTCTCTTGGAAGAGAGACGAAACGTTTCATTAAAGAAGAACCCGTCCAGAGGACCTATACAATTTTTTTTCCTTTGATATTCAAGATATCTTGAATAATAATTCTGACTAGTCAAAATGTCACAGATAGCATTTTTGCGGAAAAATTACTACATAGACATCATAACTATATGTAGAGACCGTAATGTTTCATTGCAGCCGCCATCTTGGATAGGTCCCCATCTAAAAATAATCATAGTTCCATGATTTTTACACAATTTTCACACAGTTTGGTTTGTTACAAACAGCAGAGATGTAGTCATGATAGAGAACACTATCACGAAAAATCTGAGCTTTCATGCTGAAATACTTTGTTTATTTATATCTAAATATAGCTTTATTTTATAAAACATGAGTCGGATCCCATGCCCTATGCTTACTGAATATGTATACTGTACTGTATACTGTACTACTGATATGTATCTTTGGATGAGCCAGTGTGACAGCTTGGGTAATTTTTGTTTCTTCGTTTTTCTCCTATTAATGGGTGTATGTGTTTTCCTTTTTTCTTTTTATTGTCTTTCTTTTACTTTATTTATATATGGCTCGAAATAAACATAAACCTTAAAAAAGACAGACATATTGTATGGTACATTAATAAAAGTATAAATGAACTAGAAGCACTCAGAGAGTGCAAACCTCCGCCAAGGTCAATTTTCCCCATCATGAAATAGAGTTAATGCACAAAAGGAGAGATGGAAACACATTTGCCAAATAAGTTTGATAGCAAACATTTAAGCAGGCAGTATGCATGGGATTTCCTTCCAGTGGAGTCCAATGCGAAAATAAAAAGTCAGAGATTCGTCACCCAACGTTATTCATCCACAAACTGGTCCCGGATTGAGCTCCCAAGTTTTTATCTGTCAGATTCCACTGTGTAAAATGTCTGTTTTATCCCCTTTTATGAGTTTTTAATGTTTTGACCAGCTTTATCAATGGTAAATGGACTGAACTTATATAGTGCTTTATCAAGTCCCTCCAGACCCCAAAGCGATTTACACTGACAGACATTCACCCATTCACACTTACATTCACACGCTGATGATGTACATTGGAGTTGTACTTTATAAACTGCTGCTTCCTGCTTGGTACAGTCGTTCTGGAAGCGATTCACCTTTTATTTATTTATTTATTTATTTATTTTTAAGTGAGTGGTCGAAGCAAAATACTGAGCGCTTTCAGCACAAACACTCCCACAAACTTCTGACTAATCACACAATAAAGTTCTTATGTGCAGGGGGTACCTCACATGGTTGATCAGCTGTTCCCGCTGTCTGGTACTGGTCCGGTGTAAGACCGGTACTAGCTTCGGCTCGACTGCAGCTAGACCCTCCCCCTGCTGTCAGTGTCCTGTTATTCCCGTAACGTGAAGAGAATCACATTTCTTTCTCTATGTCTCCAGACAGCATGCAACATCGCCAAAACTAGTTGATAACAGAATAATCATAACGAGACATCCTGGGATGTGTAGTCCCAGCGAGTTTGCGACTTGTACTTCCTGTTTCCAGCAGGCATGCGTCTGACGTAATGACACTTTGAGTAGCCTGGCTGATTCACTCGAATTAAAAGAAAAATTCCTGTATCTGCATCGTGATCTGGAACATCACCAAAATTTAATGGTGTGTTCCTTGGGCCAATACCCACAAGTGTTAAAGATTTCATGACAATCTGTCCACAAGTTTTTGAGTAATTTTGTCCACAGACAGACAGACAGACAGACAGACAGACAGACAGACAGACAGACAGACAGACAGACAGACAGACAGATGCAACCGAAAACATTACCTCCTCCCTTGGCTGAGGTAATTACTGTCCAGAAAAATGCAATTCTAGAAACAATTAAATACTGAGCAGAACCCTCAAACCACCTGGCCACTGGTAAATAACCTGAGCCTAAAGGGAATTGGAACCACCCACTTATATGATGTTTCAGTGAAACATGATTTTTTGGCATTCAGGGAAAACTTCAACTTGTCTTTTCCAGTATGTGAAGTTTTGTATCAGTTATTTTAAATGTCAAGGGTTTCATTTAATGCATACAGAAAAGCTTGTGATGTATTCTCTTCATATAATCTTCATAAATGTCCAATTTCCTCCTCAGAGTGGACCCCAGTGGAGCTTGGACACTGAAAGCAGGACTAAGGAAGTGTAAGTGTGGTTTCAACTAAACTAATTAAAACAAACACAAAGAACCACCATGAATGGGTGTTTTTGCTGAATTGTGTCAGTCACAGCTGCCTTCTTGTTATTACAGATACTCATCAGATCACTCTGGATTCAAAGACAGCACACAGAAACCTTAAATTGTCAGCCAACAAAAGACGGGTGACAGTGACAGCAGAGCAGCAGCCATATCCTCACAATCCTGAGAGGTTTGATTACTGGCACCAGCTGCTCTGTACAGATGGTTTAACTGGACGCCATTCCTGGGAGGTGAAGTATGAAGGAATGGTGTGCATTGGAGTAACTTACAGAGGAATCAGTAGAAAAGAAGACAGCTACAGCTGTTTGGTTGGAGGGAATAATCAGTCCTGGAGTCTGTACTGTTCAGGGAAGACTTTCTTCGCTTTTCACAACAACAAGAAACAAACGATTCCTCCACCTTCCTCCACCTCCAACAGAGTAGGAGTATATCTGGACTGGCCCTCTGGAACTCTGTCCTTCTACATAGTCTCATCAGATGCATCAGCTCACCTCCACACCTTCAATACTACATTCACAGAACCAATCTACCCTGCTTTTAGGGTCGGATTACAGGACAGTTTATCTGGTTCTTCTGTGTCTCTTTTACCTCATTCATAAGACAGCTCAGTCCAGGACTAATGCATCTTCTGTCCTCCTCCAAGCATTCAGAAAAAACACGAAGGCAGAAGGGTGAGTAAAATGAGCCCGCTCTGATGCTCCTCTGAGCCGGGAGCAGAAGTAGAGACTGGACTGAGCCCGGCAGGCCCACTTGTGAAAAAGCAACATGTTGTTCCGCGCTCAGAAAATGATAATGAGCTGATGACATCAGTGAGCGACAGCAGGATTAATCAGCAAACAGATTTATTACAGAGGGAATATTAACTATGATGAGAAACAGCAACTTTGTAGATTGTTTAAAAAATATTGAGCCACAGGTTTGATGTGCAGAGACAGTGAGTGGCTGGAGGATTAATCAACAGATTTATTAATGAGGGAATATTAAAAGTGACACAGAACAGCAACTTTGTAGTTAGTTTTAAAAATATTTAACCACAAAATCAGTAAAATGAGCAAAACTGTAGTGCATGCAGTACATATTCCAATCTTTTTATTTTAAATTTATTGTTTGTAAGTTTCATCTTTTATTCTGTTCAATGCCACAGGTATGTGTTTTCTTCTCCAGTGAATTGGATTCAGCTTTTATATATCTATCTCTGAAATCTAACCACTCTTGTATATTTTTTTGCTATTTGAACTGTATATCAAACTATTTGGCTAAATCAGTAATCAGTATCTAATCTTTTTGTATTTGTATCTTTTTGAATTAACTTCTTTTTTACATAACCACATTAAAATACATTGAGCTTTCAGATATTGTAAGAACTTGATTGTTATGTTTTGTCTGGGTTCATGTTTTTATTTTGACTTTATTCTGATTTTTCTGTCATGTTCCTCTGTTTTCTTCCTCCTGTCTGCCTTTGCTCCAGCCCCGCCCACTCACACCTGATCCTCATGTTTCTCCCCCAGGTTCCCTGTTTGTGCTCATTAGTCTCAACTTTATATTCTGTGTCTTGCCTTCACTTCCCTGTCGGGTCATTGTTTATGTTCTGTTTTGTGCCTTGCCTTGCCTTGCCTTGCCTTGCCAGCCACTCAGAGTTTTTGAGCTGCCCAGTCAGCACTTTTTTTGTTAAATAAATACTTTGTTTTTTGGAACCTTGAAACTGCCTGCATCATGGGTTCATTCCTGCCTGAGATTCATAACAGATTTATATTGAGTCTGATGTTTAGAATATTTTATAAAGGGAGGCTCTGAGTGATGTGACAAACTTTACTTGTCTGCCAAAAATAGTCATGTTTGATACCAGGATCAGTTGTCTGTGCCTGATTCAGTTTTATCTTGGTTTAAGTCTTATTTAACTGGAGTTTTTCTGTTTGCCTTGGTGAATGCTCTTCTTCAGCAGCCCCTCTGACTTGTGGGGTCCCCCAAGGGTCCATTTTAGGTTCACTTCTTTTTAATCTTTATATGATGCCTTTGGGGTCCATTTTCAGAAAGCATAACATCACTCTCCATTGCTTTGCTGATGATATCCAGGCCTATATGCCCATTAGTTGAACAGGGACGCTCCATTGGAACCACTCTTCAGCTGTCTGAATGATATAAAAACCTGGCTAAAACTAACTTTCTGAATCTAAATGAGAGTAAAACTGAAGTAATCACTTTTGGTAAATTCATATGACATTGGCCCTTTATTTTCATACAGCCATCAAGAATCTGGATTTTCTCTTTGATGGTGCCTTTAAATTGGATAAACAGATTAATTCAGTTGTAAAATCAAGTTTTTCCAATTAAGAGTAATTGCTAAGGTGAAATTGTTTCTCCCCACTAAAGACCTTGAAARGGTGATTCATGCTTTTATTACCACTCGCTTGGACTATTGTAATTCTTTGTATGCTGGCTTAGATAAATCATCTCTGCATCACCTACAGACTGTCCAGAACGCAGCAGCTCATCTTTTAACAGGTACTAAAAAGCATGAACACATAACCCCGTCCTGGCTTCTCTCCATTGGCTTCCTGTTCACCTGAGAATTGATTTTAAGATTTTATTGATGGCTTTTAAAGTTTTTAATGGTCTGGCCCCGTCATATTTATGTGATCTTCTTAACATCTACACTCCAGTCAGAGCACTCAGGTCTACCAACCAGTTCCTGTTAGATGTCCCTAGATCCAAACTGAAATCTAGAGGTGACCGGGTTTTTGCAATAGCTGCTCCAAAGCTGTGGAACAGTTTACCTCTTAATATTCGGTCAGCAGAGACTGTTGAGGCTTTTAAATCTTTGCTGAAGACCCATTTATTTTCTCTGGCTTATGCTTAAGGTTCAGTTTGAGCTTTTTTCATATATTGTGTTTCTGTATTTGCATCTATTATTTGTTTGTTTTTTGATGTCTTGACTGAACTGTGAAGCACTTTGGTCAGCTTTTGTTGTTAATGTGCTATACAAATACATTAAACATGTTTCTAACAAATCATTCCTCCTATATTCAGCATTTAGCTATGGCTTCACAAATCTCAACATTTATTTTATTGGCGGCTGTGGCGGAGTGGTTAGGGGAGTCGTCCTGGAACCAGAAGGTCGCTGGTTTGATCCCCCGTCCAGCCGTCTCAGTCGTTGTGTCCTTGGGCAAGACACTTCACCCACCTTGCCTACTGATGGTGGTCAGAGGGTCCGGTGGGCGCCGGTGCATGGCAGCCCCACCTCTGTCAGTGTGCCTCAGGGCAGCTGTGGCTACAATGTAGTTTGCCATCATCAGTGTGTGAATGTGAGTGTGAAAGTCTGTGTGTAAAGTTCTGTTTGTGTAAAGCGCTTTTGGGGACCGGAGGGACTTGAAAAGCGCTCTATAAGTTCAGTACCATTTACCATATTAGAAAGTTTATTAATTTAATTAATTAAGTAAATAATTAATTAATTAAATTTATTAGCTACACAACAGCTGCACAACATCAGTTTTGTAAATTTAGGCTTTTGCTACAGTTTTTGAAGTTAAAGCTTTTAACCATACCGTTGCAAATTTAGTGGGAGTGAGAATTGTAGACAGCTCTTAAAAAGACAGAGGCTGATTTCAAGGCGTTCAGATACAGTGTTTTCATAACAACTGAAGGTAACATAGTTATTAGATTGTGGTAAAGAATGGAACTACGTGCCAAGAAAATACTTCCCCTCCCCCATGTACTCCTGTTTCCAGGAATTTTGTGGTCTCTTTTTGATTCTATAGAAATTTTTTCTAATCTGATATTTCCTGTTCTCACTCAGAGATGATGAGTCAGAGAATGTTTTCAAACAAACAAACAGTTTTATTATGTTGTGTTTTTTTTTATTTATCATTAAGATAAAATCTACATGCAAATGTTTTACATTGAATTCTTGCTGGTCTAAATCCATCTGTTTTTAACTGCCTTTTTTTCCCGAATTTGAAAGTTTTGCAACTGTCATGAAAATAAACTTAAAAAAATAGATCCACTAACTGAATAAAACAAATCTGATGCTTTTTAAAATTTTATTTTATTTTTTTAATAGATGACAAATCTGATGCTTAAACACGGGTATCAGAAAACTGCTTGTACTGATTAATTATTAGTCAGTGGGTGTGTATTCTATGTGGGCGGTCCATCAGACAGTGTGTACATAGGTCAGAACTGAACATACACACACACACACACACACCAGGACACACAGCTGCAGGGATACTTGGGAGTCTGCAGGCAGAGAAACTGAAAACTTACTGTCAGAATCTGAGGAAATGGAGAAGAAAGCTGTTTTGTTCAACTTCTGGGGCATCGTTGTCCCGTCCACACCAAAATCTGTTTTCAACAAGCTAGAGGAGCTGCACAACTTTGGGTGAGAGGAGACTGTTACAGATCAGCTCTGCTCTGTAAACAAACACAAAATGTTTCTTCATTAGAATTTGATTTAAATGAAAACTGTTTAAAATAAGTTATTGAACTCATCTACATGTATTTCTTCTGTCTGTGAATGTTAAAACTGCATAAACTAACGTGGAGAAATGTGTCAAATGAAGGTTTCCATTGGTTCAAACTGCTTTGTTTTTCCATATTACAGGATTTCTATACTTCCTACAGATTTGTGTTTTTACAGCACAATTAGAAATTTGAACGAAAAGAACTTAAATTTTAGACAAAAACATCTGCCTTATGTTTAGGGTTGGGCATCGAGTCTCGAGTATCGATAGGAACCGGGCCTAATGTTTCAGTTCTCCTGGAATCATTTGTAATTTTGCATTTCGATACCTAGTTTCAATACCCAGTCCACCAACTGGAAGATGAAGCCGTCCAAGCTGCCGAACACCAGTTTGAGTTGGTGTTCAGACCCAAATTGTCAAATTAAGTGAAATAATCTACCAGTGCTTTAAGACAATTGCACTTGGTAAGACTTGAAATGAGGAAAACTTTTCCAGGCTAACAAGATTAATAATCGAACACATCCTGCTCATGTTTAGTACATCATCTCAAAACAAGATCAAAAATGCTCTGGCTGGATATAAGTGTACAAGCTGGTTAGATGGACAAGTTTTGCAGAGTACCCGTGTGGAAAATAAATTCATAACATCTGTTCATCTAGAAAGAAATCTGGTTAGCTACCTCGTTTAAACCATACAAACTTTTTTGACCCTGCCTTTTAAAAGAATCAAAGTTGGGAATCACTGGGAACTGCAGAATCCAAATGAGGAACTGGAATCATTCGAATTCAAACCATGTCCAACCCTACTTATGTTGATTGGCTTTGCTGAAATTATCTGATGGTGAAAATGAATAATAGTCAAAATTCCAGTGTTAATTACCTCCACCAAAGTGGTTCTGTTTTTGATAGCATTGGTTTGTTTGTCTGTCCGTGTGCACAAGATTTCTCAAAAGCTTATAAAGGGATTTTGACTAAATTTTGATGGCACATTTGGGTTTATCACAAAGAACAAATGGTTGCATTTTAGTGGTGATATGGCAAAATCTGCCAGAGCTGCAGCTCTCTGTGATCTGGCACCAACAGCAACTGAAAGAAGTAAAAACAAAAGATAACACAGCCACAGGCTGCTTTCTAGGGACAGCTGTCATACTGTGATTTATTGACAATGTGACAGTCAATCAGCATCCAGCAGAACTTTGTTAAACCGGTCACAGCGCAGCAGTTTACTCATTTGCATAATAAAGGGTCTTGGCTGAGGTGTGCACTCTATAAGCTAGTTTAAATACATAAAGAGGAATAAAAGTAGAATTTGGACAAGAAAAAGGAGCAAAACTGACAAAGGATGAAAGATGAAAGAAAAATAAAAAGACAAAAAGACAAAAACAATGAAACATCAAAGAACAAATTTTCTGAAGAAAATGTAAAGCTCTCAGTGCATTTCAATGAGAATAAAAGTAACTGTTTCAAAAAGTATGAAAATAAAAAAACAAATGCTATGTATGTAATGTACTAAACAAGCTGAACATTTTGATAACTGATTGGCTGAAATAGATGAAAGTTTGCTAAAATAGTTCTAGTCCTGAAATCATCAGGAACTACACTCAGGAATCGCATTGTACCTTTGGGTTTTATTTATTGATTTATTTATTGTTCTTGTCAGAGGAGTTCTGTCTGATGTGGCATCCCAGAAAGATGGAGCCATGATGCGAGCAGAAAAAGGAGGTCTGATTCTGACACAAGTGGGTAAAATCCATTTTATGCCGTATCTGTCATATGTAGGATAAATGTAAATTTTCCCAAGGGAATTTTCTGAACAATTCAATAAAATAACAGTACATCGGACTGGGACAAAAGAAATAATGATCAAAAGTAACAGCAATAATGTCATAGCAGTAAATGAACTCAACTCACATTTTGTAGACTTGAAGAATAAAATAAGAAATTAGCATTACCAACTGTTTTAAAGTGGACATATCATGCTTTTAAATCCAACTTTTTCACATTTAAATCATTCACTTGGGGTCTTTATAAAGTGGAACTACAATGCTTTGTCAGAATTCCTCTTTATTCTAACTTTACCAGCCCCTCTTTCAGCCCTTTTCTGGCATGCATCTCAAAGCTGCTGGTTTTGATTCTGTTCCTTTAAGGTGCTTTATGCCCCGCCCACCTGTGGCTTCCAGACCGGTCTATTCCAGTTTGAGAGAGAAGGTTACCGGTTTCTAGCAGTGCAGAAGCTTTTTTTTCTTTTCTTTTCTTTTCTTTTTTTTTTTTTTTTTTTTTACAAATTAATTAAAAGTTAACAAAAAAAAGACTTGTCCATCCAGCCTTGTTGGAGCCAGAGTCTGACCCAAAACAAGAGGTGAATGAAGATCACCAAATTGTAGTTGGTAAGTCTCTTATTTGGCAGTTCTGTTGCAAATAATTTGAAGTAATTGTTCAGAAAAGGTAATAGAAAACAGAGACAACTAAATGGGCTGAAAATATGACCTAAACAGAATATAAAGATATGCTTGCTGCATCAGGAGAGACTCCAAGTACACAATAAAACGTATTTACCAGCTAAAAAGGTGGACTTTGCATGATATGTCCCCTTTAAACTATTTAAAGAAATAATCCTTGCAGGTGTATTCTGCATTAATGTATTAACAACAGAAACAAGAAAGTGCCTCGTTGAAAATTTGTTGTGATAATGAAATCAGTACTTTTTTCTCAGAGTATATAAACACTAGTAAACTTATTTTAATTACTCATTTGTTGGGTTCAAGCTTTTGGATCATAGATGGAGTTCCATCCATCCGTTTGTCCGTCCGTCCATCCATCCATCCATCCATCCATCCATCCATCCATCCATCCATCCATCCATCCATCCATCCATCCATCCATCCATCCATCCATCCATCNTCCATCCATCCATCCATCCATCCATCCATCCATCCATCCATCCATCCATCCATCCATCCATCCATCCATCCATCCATCCATCCACAACTTGTTCCAGGTCACGTGGGTAGCAGCTTGAGCAGAGGCCCAGAACTCTCTTTTTTCCAGCCACCTCCTCCAGCTCTTCTGGGAAGATTCTAAGGCGTTCCCTAGTCTCTCCAGCGTGTCCTGGGTCTTCACCCGGGTCTCCTCCCAGTCAGAAATGCATGAAGAACCTCCATAAGGACACCCTATCTCTAAGGGAGAGTCTAGCCACTCTGCAGAGAAAAATCATTTTGATTATTTGTGATCTTGTTCTTCTGGTCACTACCTGGACGAACAATAAACACAGAGCTTTGCCTTACACCTCAGCTCTCTCTTCACCACAACAGCCCGGTACCGAGTCAGCAATACTGCAGAAGCCATACCTATTCATTTATCAATCTCAGGCTCCATTCTTCTCTCACTTGAACAAAACCCCAAGAAAACTTGAACTTCTCCACTTGAGGCACAACCTCACTCCCATCCTGGAGAGAGCAATCCACTCTTTGCCCGCTGAGGACCATGGCCTCAGATTTGGATAGGTTGAGCGGCTTTGACCAAAAACTGGGTCAAATTGACCCAGTTGTTGGGTCAGAGATTGGCCAAGTCATTTTTAACAGTACACCATTTTAAATCAGAGCTGAACTAAAATAGATCTGACTGAACCTCTGCTTTGGAATGCAACACGAAAAGATAACATGGCAAAAACAACTTTTAAGAAGATGTATAACTGGGTTGGCTTTGTTAATAATCTCAGTTTTTATTTGACACTGAGTTTTCTTTCCTCAAATAACTAGTCTGAAGCACCAACCAGATTGTAAATATCTAATAAGGCAGATTTTGGGTTCTTCTTTTTTAAAATTTATCTTAGTATCTCTAATTCGACAAATAAGTAAATTTAATCCAATTTTTGGGTAGAAAGTGTAATCCAGTATTCTGGGTAAAACTAATAACCTGCTGAGTAAAACTAAGCTAAATGTTGGACTTTAAAGAATGACATGGATCATCTTCGACTCATTTACTGCCCCAGTTTGGTCCAATATTTGTTCAAACCAACTCAACCTATGACCCAACAGCTTCGACCAAGTGAATGAGTTATAGAAATGACCCAACAGTTTTTAATGCGAGACTCTCTTTGTGGACAGGATCAGATGTCCTGTGTGTCTATGTTTAACTGCATTGTTGCTGGCGAAGAATAAATGAATAAAATGAACTGAAAACCTGGAGGTGTGTGTGTTTGTATGTAGATGATTCCAGAGTTTGAGGCTGAGTGTGTGAAGGAGGCACAGACCAGAGATGTAAAACTACCGCCTAACTGGTCAGCTCAAGCCATGCTTGAGGAGTTCAGGAAGGAGATGCTGGATGTCCGAGACGTGGTGATAAAGATGGCCGCCAGGCTGCAACAAAACGGTTTTCAAAATCCCTTTTCCTCTGAACATAATATTTAATCAACAAGTTTATTTTCACACCTCTAAAGCTCATTGCATTTAGGTAAGGGAGACAAACATACAGACTAACAGATGATGATGTAATGTTTGATTTAAAGGAGTACTGACAGCTGTGCTGGCCAATCAATGGATAGATGACAGCGCGTCCAGAGATGACACGGCCCATCTTCTTTGTCAGTTGGGGCAACATTTTAACCTGGTCCTACAGTCCTGTTATGCGGGTCACAGGGTTCCAGAGCCTGCCATGTTCAGCTCTGCTTTGCAGCAGCTGGGAGTCTTGTCACACCAGGTGGGGGACAGACCAGCACACAATTTAAACAGTTTAGGAAGAGAAGGCTGAACTACTCAGTTCTTGTTCAGGCTCTGTGGCTCGATGTGGATGAGGAAGGTGTGAAAGCAGCAAAGGCAGCAGGGATGAAGGCCATCCTGATGACAAATCTGGAAGATGCTCTGGAAAAAATATCCAATTTTACCAAAGTTCAGGTACAGATGTTTTGACACACTGAAACAGAAACACTGAATTTTTAAACACTAAAAATATTTTTTAAATAATGTAACGTAAAACATACACCTGATTTTTTTATTTGCCAGGTTGTTGGAGCTGAAAGTCCTCCACCATCCTGCAGCCCTAATGAAGTGTCTCATGGATACATCTCCATCAAAGTAAAGCTAATTGGGCATACTTTGCACTTTTATATATAGTATATTTTAGTCTTTATTTTCCCCATTGAAAAACATTGACTGCTGATAGTATTTGTTACTTTTGGCTTTTAGTTAATGTTTTGCTTTTATAGGCTGTTGTTGCAGACAGCAGTGTGTGGATAGACCTGCCATGGTGATCATGATGTTGCAAGCTATAAACACAATGATAACAATTTTACTTTTGTGTTTCAGCCTGGTGTGAAGACTCACTATGTAGAGATGGGCACCGGCCCACCAGTTCTGTTTTGCCATGGTTTCCCTGAGAGCTGGTACTCCTGGAGGTTCCAGGTGAGCCATGTGCTTTCCTCAATATGTCAGAATGGTTTGCAGAGTGCTTACTTACCTGCCTCTTCTCCCATAGCTCCCAGCTGTGGCTGCAGCAGGGTTCAGGGCCTTGGCTCTGGACATGAAGGGATACGGAGAGTCCACGGCACCTGCTGGTGGGTAAACGCCACAAATATTTAATGCAATGTTTTGATATCCTGTTATCTAAAAGTTATGTGAAATTTGCTGATTCACAGACTTTAAGGAGTATTCTATGGATCAACTTTGCAAGGTACAAACTATAATGTGGGATTGTGTGACAAATAACATTTTAACTTATTTACTAAAAGTGTTTCTCTTTTTGCAGGGTTTAATCACATTCCTAGATAAAATGGTAAGAAATAAATCAAGACACAACCCTGATTCCAAAAATTCTGAAATTGTTACACATTTTTTAAAGAGTTTTTTTGCAAACTGATGAACCTCTGCTCATCTTTTAAAGAGCCCGTGAGAGGACATGGGGGATTATTTTTTTTCTTTTGCGTTCCCTTGCAAAAGTCGTTTATCACTGTTGTCCCTGCCGGTTTATTAACAAATTCATCTGCTCACCGTTAGCAAGTTAGCCTACTGCTTTATTCAGCTTTGGAATGAATATAACACACAGCCACGCATGGAAGTACAGTATGTAATATGCCAATATTTTATCTCAGTGCAGCCACACAACATCAAATGTCAATTTCTCGAACTTGTGGCAACACATCCTTTTTGAGAAACCAGATAGTTCCAAATAAAAGTTTGTTTTAATTCAGTTCATAAAAAAACAAACTTTTGTGTTGGCATGAAAAACAATATTGCGAGAGAATGCAAATGTTTGCGAAGCAAAGCAAAAAGTTTTGTGAGGTACCATAAAGGTATTGTGAGATAACGTAAAAAGGAAAAAAAATCCCCCATGTCCCCTTGCAGGCTCTGTAATCTTCTCTTCTGAGATTCAGCCTCTCTAAAATACTCTTTTAGTACACAGTCCTCTTACTGACCTGCTGTCACTTAAACTTAAATCTTAAATGCTCCTCCAGATGTTTCTTATTTGTACCACCAACTTTTACAGCTTTGTGTTGCCCTTTTAAAGAAATTGCAGCCATAAAAATCCTAAATGTTTAGCAGAAAAATTTCTTCATTTCAACATTTGTGTGTATGTTCCACTGTGAATAAAATATGTGTTTATGAGATTTGTAAATTATTGCATTTCGTTGTTATTTATGTTTTACAGAACATGCCAACTTTTTCAGAATTGTTGTTGTACTATAAGGTTTGTCTTACTGTAATTGACCTAAATGGATCGTGTTTGTGTCAGGCCATACCACAGGTCACCTTGGTGGGTCACGACTGGGGTGGTGCTTTGGTTTGGAGCATGGCCCGGTATTTTCCAGAGAGAATCAGGTGAAAAAAACACTTTCACAAAGTCAGTGATGTTTCCTGGATACTGATGTAACATGTATTTTCTGTTCATGTGAAGAGCTGTGGCTTCTCTGAACACTCCTCTGTTCCCTGTGGATCCTACTGGTTCTCGTACAAAGAAACTCTTGGAACTGCCCACATTTGACTACCAGATCTATTTCCAAAAACCTGTAAGTTACCTAGTACTGACATAAGACCTAAGTGTTTGATTTGGCTTTAGTTTTGCTGTTGTTTTAAATGCTTCAAGTGTTTGTTGAAATAATGTTTTTTAGGAATGCGTAAACAACTGATTGAAAGGTGGTTGGATTAAGTTATTAAACACGGTTTTCATATCTGAAAGGCTTACAATTAGGAGAATGGTTCTTGGGTTTTACATATTTGAATAAAATAAGACTGATCTGGTTCTAAAATGATTAAATTCTAACCTCAAGTGTACAGAAACACAGAACAACCATGACAGTTTAACACAACTCTAAAAGACATTAGCAACAACCTCAGAGACGTTAACTGTTTCTGCCCATCAATCTGGAGAGGTCAAAGGTCATTTCCAAGGTACCAATTGCTTCCAGTTGGTTAATGGACTGTGTTTTTATTGCACCTTTCTATCCAACCATCATACTCAAAACACTTTACACTAAGACCTGTGTCTACATTTACCCATTCACATGAAGAAATTTATAGTTATTAGAGGTTAGTACTGATGTTAAAAGCACAACACTACATTTTTAGGTTTTCCTTTTTGTAATGTTGACAATGTTTAATCTATTATGTTTTGATTGAAATAGGTTCAGTTACATGTCCGAATTATATGACAACACATAATCAACCGTCATGAGAACAGTAGGTGAGAATTTTGTCTGAATGCCTGTGATTCAGCCGTAGGTCAGTAGGGGGTGAGCGAAGGCATTGAAGAAGGTGTATAAATACATGAACTTCCTGGTTTTTCGCCAGTGTGGTTTCCTGTCAGCTTGGGTGACAATAAACCTCACTCAGATCCAGAGTTCTGGTGTTGTATGGTTTGATTCCTTCTACAAATCATTTTATTTAACAATGGGTTTTTAATATCGACTTCAGTTTATTGAATACGAATTTTCTTACACACACATCACTCTATTATATCTCTACAAAACTAACATAAATAAATCATTCTATAAAGAACTAATCAGTCCTTTTAGATCACATTCATACACTGATGGGACACAAATCCGAGGCAGTGAGTTCAGTGTCTTGCCCAAGGACACTTCAGCATGTGACTGAATAGTGATTGATTTAAGCCATCAACTCCCATATTGGATAACCACTGCTCTAACCACTCACCCACAGTTGCCCATTACAAAGAAGCATGTCACAGAGAGAGAGAGAGAGAGAGAGAGAGAGAGAGAGAGAGAGAGAGAGAGAGAGAGAGAGAGAGAGAGAGAGAGAGAGAGAGAGAATGAGAGAATGAGAGAATGAGAGAATGAGAGAGAGAATGAGAGAGAGAATGAGAGAGAGAATGAGAGAGAATGAGAGAGAAATAACAAGTGGAAAACTTTCAAGACAGCTTCCAGTCTTTCTAGGACTGTCAGAAAATTCACCCTGAAGGTCAGACTGTGCAAGGCTTGTCATAGGTTAAAGGGCTGCAGGAGAAAGATTCTCTCTAAAAGCAACATGGCATCATGACAGGTTTGTAAAGGAGGTTCATTTGAGGAACCAGAAAATGTCTTATCAATTGTATTATCATAGATATTTTATGCCTTTATTTTTTCATACAAATTAAAGGGCTAGTACGGTGCACTTGCATTCAAACACGTTTAGAGACAGATTTCATTAAAATCAAGGTTCTTACCAACAATTAGACCAAGAAAATAAGCATTTTGAAACTTTTCTGCTATTTGCCTTTAAAAAGGTTTCAGAAACAGGATTTTTTTTAAATCTTATGGTTATAACTCAGCAAATTCTACAGAAATTGAGCTAAAATTTGATGTGGTAGTCTCTGAGAGTCCTCCAACACTTACTCGGTAACCCTATTGATTGTATGACACTGTTGCCCAAAACTTTGACATCACCTGTTAAAGTCAACCCTGTCTGTTAGCAAAATGTCTCATGAACCACTAAACAGATTTTAATGAAACTTTCTGAAAATAGGGGTTAGGGTTAACCAAAACTGGCTCTAATTTACTTAAAATGACTGATAGTGAAGTAAAGATTTTGTGGTCATTAGAAGTGTCAGCCATCTTGTATTGAAATTCTGTTCATATTTAAATGCATTTTCAACTTCTCCACTCTTCTAAATGGGTTTGATGTGTTTCAGGGAGTAGCTGAGGCAGAGCTTGAGAAGGATTTAGAGAGAACAGTCAAGATTTTCTTCTACAAATACAGTGAAAAGGTGAGTCGACACACAATCTGCATCATCAGGTCAGTAGAGGTGGAAACAAATGACACGCTAAATGTTGTTTCTTCAGGAGGGACGTCCTAATCTCAACACTGCAGGAGTCTGTGCTCGAGGTGAGAGGATCTCCTCCTGAGGACCATCTTCAGACATTACAGTGAACTATTAGAGCTCATGTCATGTGTTTGGGTCTCAGGTGGTCTGTTTGTGGGTCTGCCTCAGAAGATTCCCAGAAGCTCGATGCTAACGGAGATGGATCTGCAGTACTATGTTAGCCAGTTCAAAAAGAGCGGCTTCAGGTGAGGCTAATTTTAAAAAAGTAACTTTTTAGCCCAGGTGGCTTATAAAACACAACTCAATATTTAAAATGTTCAACATTTTGGATGATGAGTAAAACATCAGAAACCGACACAAAGAAATGGTAAATAAGATTGTTTTTGGGCTTTAGGATATCTGTGCTTGATTTTTCACCATCTACAGTGGGATTAATAGTAATTAGGTCAATTTTTGTTTTTAAAGCTGAGTTTAAAGCTGTGATTAGAAAAACTTCTTCCTCTTTTGCCTTTCGGTTCCCAGGGGCCCGTTAAACTGGTATCGAAATAGTGACATCAGCTGGAAGTGGATGTGTTCGCTGCCTTCTGGGAAGGTTGGTATAGTACGGGCATTTTAAGAGAGTTTTCATAAATCTGCAAGCTAAATTGTTACCAAATAATTTCTTCACCAAAATGTAAAAGTGTATTATATCATGTACTAAAATGCTGAAATTCAACACCAGTGGAAAACCTTGAAAAAAATCTGCTCAAGTTAGGGTACCGATAAATTATTATTATTATTTTTTTTACTTTTGAGGGATCAAACCAGGGTTTCTCATGATTCTGAGTGGATTGTTAGCATTTACGTATATGTCACCACAAACACTCCATTGTTGAAGAAGTGCTCACTAACCTTTACATTCAAAGTAGCTTTTATTTCGCATACTTTTATACTGTAATTCTCAGAGTTATTTTTTATTCATAATGTCAGAAGCTTCTCTATGTCTTCTTCAGACTCAACAACATCATGACTGCAGTTTCTGCAATATAATAGATTCCACAGACATGTGAACCTGCTCTTCTTGCAGCTGCAGATGGTTGTTATAATCACTATGACAGTTACAGCTCGAGAAAGTCAGTAGGTCTTCAGGAGCCAGTGGGTCTAGTGTTGTAACTGTTCATAACCACGAACAAACATGCATCCATAATGACCTGGGTTTGAGCAGACATTTCTTTAAATATCTTTCTTCCTAATGGGTTTGATGTTTTAAAAACATATTTCTTTAAATAATATGTAGAAAAGAGCAACTCACAGAAGAAGGAAGAACACCTGCACTCTGGGTAAAGTATCAACACATGGTAGATGTGATCAAGATCTTTGTCAGAACCAAGCAAGTTGTAGACCACAGCAGGCATCTCTCCTGCATTATTACCAAGATGCTCGACATCTTTGCTGCTGAAGGCCATCATCAATGCACTAAGGGTGCATGGCTGTACTTTCAACTCATCAAGGAAGTCATAATTTTGTTTGCTTACAGAGACACCTTAGAAAATGTTTCACTGCCACAGAAAGACATTGACAGGTACTTCTGCCCTGACTGGTCTGACATTTGCTGTAAGGCAGCTAGGTCAGAATGTGGACTGAGCAGAGGAAGAATGAGAAACAGTGTCTCTGACCACAGGGTGCTCACCATCAGTCACTTCTCTGATGTCAACCAGTGGATGAAGACATCAGGAAACATGTTCCACTACAGATCTCTGGAAGACTTCAACAAGTTATTCTCTAGAATTTCTCATTTTGCTTCATTCATCTTTCTTTCAACTGTCTCTCTGCTGTTGAAAACACCCCTGAAGCATGATTTTGCCACTACCATGGTTGAACAGTATTCTCAGGTGGTCCATTTGCCCCAGACATGGTGTTATTGATGACATGAAAGTGTGAGTTTGGTCACATCTACCACTGTGAAGCATCCTGTTTGCTTTTAACAACAGTCTGCAAATGTCTATGAAATGTCAACCCATTCTCACTCCCGAGTCGTCACATATTGACGTTTTTCAAAGGTCCCTTTGCGTCCAATTTTGACGCATCAGGTACCCCCCTTGCGTCATATTTTGACGGGATGGGGCGGAATCTGTTGTCGTAATTTCTGAAAGTGTAGAAAATGCACAAATACTACCGTCCCAAAGCGTGAAATTACGTTTATTCACTTTAGACATCCTGTCCCAGACCCTAGTACCTAAAATTAACCATTAACCCTGAAACGTAAAATTAACCATTTTTAGGAAATGTAGGAAATTCATGGCAACTACGTGTTGCAAAGCCTAAAATTACCTAMTGTTCACTGTAGACATCCTATCCCTGACCCCAGTCCCTAAACTTAACCATTTATCCTGATCCCTAATGTTAACCTCAGACCCCCGACCCAAAGACCCCTGGTGGCGCAACCCGGAAAAGCCGCGGGCGGCAAGGACTGACGCGAGGGGGGTACCTGATGCGTCAAAATTGGACGCAAAGGGACCTTTGAAAAACGTCAATATGTGACGACTCGGGAGTGAGAATGTGTTGGAAATGTAGAGACAAGTTGTTGGACGTTTTGGAGGGGAATGCTGTCCCCTTTTTGTCTGATGGAGAATTCTAGCTGTTCAACAGTCCTGGTTCTTCTTCGCTGATTGGGAGGTAAAACCTTCAAATACTTCTCTGCCCTGATGGTGTTTTCTAGATACGTAAGCTACCAATGCCAAAAGCACTTATGCACCCTAATACCATAAGAGAGGCAAGCTTTTGATCCCTGGGCTAAACAGACTAGATGTGACATGGTGTCCACGGTTTATTTCAGATTTGTATCTGTCTGGCCACAGAGCTGTTTTCACTTTCCTTCAGTCCATTTTAAACGAGTCCAGAGACGACAGAGGTGTTTCTAGTTGTTCATATATGACTTCTTTGTACAGTAGAGCTTCAAGCATCATTTGTGGATGGCACTGGGTGTTTACAGACAGTTTGTGGACCTGATCCTGAGTCCATGCAGTGATGTCAAGAACAGAATTAGTTGTGTTTTTGTGAAGATCTTCTTTTTGTTAGTTTATTTCTGTGTCTATTGTCCTTTTTGTGCTTTGTTTCTGTCTATTTATGATCTCTGCAGTTTAGTTTTCCTCTGTCTTCCCCCAGCTCCTCCCACATTAATCCTTGTCGTCTCTCTGTTTCCTTTCATTAGCTCTCCCTTGTATGTCTTGTCTTCTCCTCCCTGTTGGTCCATTGTACTCCCTGCAGTCATTTCTGGTTTGTCTCTCTTTGTGCTCCTTGAGTTTTTGACTGTAAGTGCATTTATTTTTTGCTTTCCCGTCAGCATTCTTTACCTTGTACATAAATCTATTTTTAATTTTTAGAGTTTTAGCCTGCCTCCTGGTTGTAATCATGACACAAACCTGGCAGATTTTAACGCAGTAGTCCCAGAGGGCCTGAAAAGCACGGCCATGAGGGTTATTTTATAAAAGTGGCAAGAAATTGAACAAAAAATGAAAAATCCTAATGTGTAATGATAATGTTGTTAATAGTAATCTCAGTGAATGCAATAAAGCGCAGTTTTTAAAACTTATGTGACTGATATTTAAATGCATTCTGTAAATACATTTGGGCAGATGTGGCTGAGTGGTTTTGAGAGTTGCCCTCTAATCAGAGAGTTGGCAGTTCGATTCCCTGCTATTCATTCAAATGTTGAAGTGTCTCTTGGCATTACACTGAACCTCCGGTGCCTCTGATGTGTGTCCCGTCAGTGTATGAGTGTGATTTAAAGCACTGGTTAGTCTCCGCAGGATGATGTGTACATGTTATAGAGTGCTGAATGAATGTGTGAATGAGGGCACAGGTTTTAGTGTAAAGCACTTTGAGTGTCATGGTTGGATACAAAGGGGCCATATAAGTTTTTAAAATTTGCATTCTTAGGATGTTTCTCATTTAAAACACACTGCGTTCTGTTTGTGTGTCAGATTCTGATGCCGGCACTGATGGTGACAGCAGAAAATGACCCAATACTGCTGCCTTCGTTCTCAAAAAGGATGGAGGACTTGGTATGAATACAAAACAAACAGTGATTTTAGTTTTAAAGAAAACAAATCTGACGCCATCTGATTCCTGAGTGCAGATCCCGAACCTGAGCCGAGGTCACATTGAGAACTGTGGACACTGGACTCAGATGGACAAACCAGCAGAGACCAACAAGATCCTGATATCATGGCTGAAAAATAATGTCCACAAGAAGGATGGAGAGGTTACCATGGCAACCAAAAAGTGAGAAAGGAAGTAGAAAATTACATTTTACCCCACTTTAGAACTTCAACCAAGAACAATTATGAAAAAGAAAGAAAGCAATTAAAAGAAAAAATGGAGGATGAAAGATGAGATGAGTTTTACAATATCTATGAAATGAGAAAAAATCAGCAGAAATAAGGAACATAAGAAAGTCATGATTTAATATTTTGATGGAAATATTTTGAGTATTTAGGTGAATTTTAGATACAGTTTTATATCTTACACTTTGGGGTTGTGATAAAACTCGGGATCAGTGGCTCTGACAATGAAATGGAGTTTTTAGAACTGAAGAGTCAATATTTTTAAACATAATTTTACTTTGGTTTTCTGAGCATTTATTCTGGCTTCCAATTTCTGATCATGTTTTCTTACAATTTTACTGTAAAACTTCTTTAATATGATTCATGAATAATTTGATTTTTGCTGGTTTTTTCACATGGGTCCTATTTTAATCTAAAACTTGAGTGTTTGTTGTTTTAATGGGTTTTGTTATAATGCTGTATTAAAGTGGTTAAACACTC